TATATATATATATATATATATATATATATATATATATATATATATATATATATATATATATATATATAGGCCCAAGGGTACATTGTAAAAACTTTTTTACATCAAATCTCCCAAGGTTTAAATCTATAGCTGAAAAATTATTATTTAAAATCAATTATGCAATTTAATTCAATGAATCTGAATCAGTAAAATATTTACAAATCTGTAAAAAAGGCCAAGCAGAATTATCTGCAGAAAGCCTAGGCCTGTAGCCAGCAAATTTTGAAAGGCCCTAGGAGTCTTTTCTCTGAAATTAGATCTTGTACCTTGAAACCTTTGTGTACCCACGTGTAGATCAAAATTTACCCACAGCGAACTCTGAGCCCCTGAGCCCCCCCCCCCATCCCCCTGGCTACAGGCCTGGCAGATGTACCAGTACATGCTTTTCCCTTCTGCGCCACTGCTATACGCATTATATGTGTTACTATAGTGAACTTGATGAGACATGTTGGGGAATTTAACATGGAGGTCGTGTTCATAGTTTCATAGTTAGATATTTATTTGGCAACAGATATCGAACTTCATAAAAGGGAACTGTACGTGCTGCACGATTTGATAACATTCAGGGATTTTAAAAATAAAATCTGACCACTACACTGTTGTAAATATCTTGCAAGGTTTACGTAAAATAATCGTAATAATTTTGTGGCAGTATACAACAAAACCAGTGATATGACTGTGTACATAACTACAGGTAATTTAATCTGCAGACAATCAATGCCGCCAACGGAGAAGCATTGTGATATGAATAACCTCTCTCTATTAATTTGTTGATGTCAAAAAGTAATCCGCTTCTTGAACGATATTTGCTGTTTGAAAACGGTTTCGAATTTGATACATCCATCAGAATACAAAACGAAACTGCAATGCACAGCCCCGTCTATTTAATGGCTAATTCTAGCTACTGATAAGAAACGAACATTACCTTCGACCTCGGGGCGCTTATTTCGTTGTCAGGAGCTCTTTTGTGGAAGGAGGTTTGAAAACGCGTGCACCTGTTCACAATCTGAATGTCTGCAATCTTGTGGAGGGAAGCTCGTAAATTTCGTAGGTATATTCATTGTGTATTTTTCAATGCATAATAACGCATTATTCGGAGATTTGTATTCATAAAAAGTCATCAAATGCTAGGCAATGTATTTGGTGCAATTGGGTTCGTGAAACGCATTTTAAAACGAGACGATGGGACTGGAGGCTGGGGGGGGGGGGGGGGGTCAGTTGCTTTGCCAGAGATGGAACAAGTCCTACTCAAAGTTAATAAAATAATTTAGTATTTTAAAAGAAAAAAGTAAATGTGAATGTTTCTTTTTTTATGTTGCAGGAGGTCTAGGGTTAATAAAAAGTACTTATATTTTTTGCTTTTGAATACATTTCAGCAGTTACAATATAAATTATCAAAGAACATGGTACCAAATGTATATTGTATAAATATAAAGCAAGCCCCCCGATACTGTGTTTCAGATACCCCTGTATCAATGTAGAGCTATCGCATTCATTGAATACAGATGGATCCTGACAGCGAACATCATCTCACTGGAAAGAGATCAAAACTGGACTTTGATATTGAAATACATGACATAGGCACGTGTACCAGGACATGTGTAGATAAACCATTTCCTAACCAGAGTGAAAGAGACAGCAAATCCACAGCTTGCCACAGAACAGAGGCAACATCTGAAATTATTCATGACGATTTCATAAGGAGAAATAATGAATCCCAGTGGGGCTTGGCAAACAGTGGCAAAATTGTTGAAGCTGAACTCAAAGAGGATCTTCCTACACGCTACATTGACTTTCAGCCTCAGGGAGAGGTGTTCACAGAAGACTCAGCCACAGCATTAAAAACCGGAAATACATTCTGGGGTAATTAAACATTTGTAAAAGCAAGGGATACCTTTAAACGAAACCATTGATTTGTTCAGAATGATATTACTAGGTTCCATAAATTATTTCATGTGTAATCTAGATTTCCATAATGAACTAGATTTCCATAAGCCAAAGTTTTGGCTGCAGGTTGTGCATTCAACAATTTTAATTGTAGATACTGATTGACTGTTACTGAAGGTGAGATATGTTATACTTCAGGTACTGAGTCTCCACATCCCAACACTCCATCCCCAGATTACATGACAGCATTCAATGACGTCTTGGTGACCTTCATGAAGGAACAAAACATCCCTGGTCTTAGCCTGGCTCTAGGGAAAGATGGGGAGGTGGTATATACGCAGGGTATGTGGAATAATATTGGGTTAAAAAGGTCCAGAAGCCAGTACATAGCTTGAATTAACAATGAAGGATATAAGCTGTGACATACAGAAAGTGTTTTGAATGATATCTGTGAATTGTCAAATTAAAGAAAGCTAAACTGGCAATTGACAGTGGAAGACATGCTGAAGATGAATTGTAATTTAATCTAATTAATTATTATTTATAAGAAAAGAGGAGCCTGGCTTTTAGAATCCTAATTAAAATTTCATTTATTATTCAGTTGAAACAATTGTTTCATTTTATTTTTATCTGTTTATGTATGTATTTAGTTTTTGGCTGCAGGTTATGGGCAAGGAGGAAGATCAAAGAACGTTGTCCCCTCCTCCATTTTCCGTATCGCCAGCATCAGCAAGACGTTGACTGCTGTGGCTGCTCTCACTCTGGTGGAGGAAGGAAAACTGAACCTGAATGGCAAAGTATTTGGACCCAAAGGTACAGTACTGCAAAAGAGACATTCTCAAGCTTGTTGAAATATTCCCAATTTATATTTTTCTTTGAATGCCTAGCTAGTTGTTCTGGCAAAAAAGTTCAAAGCAAGGGAAAAATGCTAGCATGACTGAACGTTATATTTCCTTTTGGACACCTATATTGTAATATATACCAGTGTTTTACCATTTATCATAGATAAAAAAATTAATAAGGATACTTTTCATCATATTTAATCAGAAAATTAATTCAAAGTCACTTTTTCATTTTCTCAATTACGGGTTTATAATTGAACATAATATTCAAATCAATTGGTTTCTTTGTGACTGCAAAGAAGAAACATTTTTAAAATAATGGTCTATTGACCTCATTCAAGTCATTCTACGTAAATATTGCTTCCTGTTACAAGGCATTCTCTCCAGATTCAGTCCAGCAGTGAGAAGTGACAGGAGACTACTTCAGATCACAGTGAGGCACCTGTTGCAGCACTCCGCTGGCTGGGACTTTGACGTTATAGGAGATCCCATGTACTACAGACACGTAGGGGCCATTTTAAATGAGCCAGAACCTGTGTCACCTGAAACTCTCATCAAGTATATGATGACACAGAAATTGCAGTTCACTCCAGGTAGTTATATATATAAGTAAGATAAAATGTCTTTGGATCACAGTCAACAACTTGAAGGAGTACAAACACAGCCACAAAGGAACCCACCTCTTAGTTTTTTTAGGAAGGTAGGGACCCAGGGTTATTCAGTTTTGGAAATGGCCTCTTTTCATTTTCATTTTTGGTGATTTCTTTAAGAAGACATTTTTTTATATACAGACACAGTGTAGCTTGTACATATAGTCATCACCTGTGTCTGTCATTGTTAGCAGTGGCTTCATGCATTTTCATCATTTACACAATTTGTGGAAAGCTGTGTGACATATTATTACATTTTTTCTGTGGTTTCAGGGACAAAACATTCCTACTGCAATTTTGGTTATCTTGTCTTGGGCCAGGTGATAGAAGTGGCATCTGGTGTCAGATATGAAGACTATCTGAGACAAGTGTTGCCGAAAGCTGGCATCACCAGTGTCCGAGTGGGAAAAACCAGAAAAGAAGATGCCTTTGAAGATGAGGTTTGATTTGTTGCATCCTATGATTTTGATAAATATAAATTGAGATGAATATTTGGAATACCTGCATATTTGTATATTAAGAATACTTGGCACTATGCAGATAAAATGCAATTAAGTTTGTGCATAGGCTGTTTGATCACACCCAAATCAAACAGAAAGTTTCCATATATTAAACATAAATTCCTCTATTCATTTTCCTTTTGTGTCTGCTAATATAATTCATCTGTTTCCATGTATAGGTGGAGTACTATGCCTTCCCTCCTAATGACACTGTGGATTCAGTCTTCCCAGGAGAGGGGAGGGTCTCAGCACCCTACGGCGCCTTCTGTCTCGAGGATGACGCCCCAGTGGGAGGACTGGTCTCCACTGCCGAGGAGTTGATCAAATTCTTCTACGCTATTGACGGCATGGGATCAGTGCAACTGATAAGTCAGGAATCGTTCAGTTTGATGCTTGAGAGGCCGAAATTTGTAAAAGGGAAGGAGAGTTGGTACGGCATGGGACTGGAAGTGATGGATTCTGGGAAAACCTGGGAGCACACGGGCGGAATGGACGGCACCACGTCCACGTTGACACATGACTGCAGTGGGTTTACCTGGGCCTGCCTGTGTAACTGCTGGGTAAATGACACAGACCTGAGCAGTGTTATAAGGTACGCACTCAGCAAGGTGGGCAGCTGGTCCCCATACAACACAGTTATACCTGGGTTTAGATTTGCTGATGTTATATCTAAAGATAAATTAAACATGGTGAAGATTCTTGTCAAGGAAAATGAGTTATCGGATATGTTACAGAGTGTTAAGGAACTTGCTTGTTACCAGGCAACGTGGATAGACGGATATATGTTTGAGAACGGTCTCTACTTCAATGTCTCTTGGACTAGACAGAGGCAGGTGACTCAGGTCTTATATAACCAGACAGAGGTAGAAATATTATCTCTTCTCGAGGATATATCAAATTCAAATCTGATACCAATACATTTAGATTCTTATATTAAAAAAGACTGTGTTTGTTTTGCCCTTATTTCTAAAGAGACAGATCCTAAAGAAAATTTGATCCAGGAATGGAAAATTCACTTAAATCTGGAGACATCATCACATGCCAAAATCCAAGAAGAATATAAAAAACACAATATTTATCTTCAGGTTTGTTGTGTTTTAAATTTCAACAACGTGACCAGCATAACAACTCTGTATTTAAGAAAAATTAACAAAACGTGTGATGTATGGTCAAAATATGACTTGACTAAAGACCAATATGAAAAAGAATTCAACAGACATGCAAGATATGGGCATTTACTGGCATACGTCAAAGCTTATCAAGATGGTGATAGGAATAAATTTAGCGCAATTTGGACTAATCCGGGACCTTATATCTATTCTTCCTCACACCATCTTTCTAAATATGGTCTGTATGTGGATCTGTGGTCGTATGCAGAGAAGAATTTCCAGGTGTCATGTCTAAGTGGCTACGTGTCTGAAGATGACTACCTAAGTTATGTGGTGGCCTGGAAGAAGCCATGTAAACCTGGAGCTGTGGCCTCAAACCAACTGTAGTTCTTATGTCTGGATTTACATTTTTAATACAGATAATTTAAAGCAGAAATAAGAGTTTGTTTTTTTATATTTCCCCTCTAATGTTTGCGAAAATAATAAGCAAATTTTACTTTACTTTCTTAGCTGACGTTGGCGTGATTTTGGGAATCTGGACCACATGGCAAAGCAATTTCCCCAGGTACATACAGGGTTACCACTTAATATGGAATATTATTTTTTGGCGAGTAAATTTTCTACAAAATATTTATTTTCTCTCTAACTACTTTAAATCCAGAGCTGAGGTGTCACTCCATGTGTAGCCAGGTGTGTTACCTTATTACCACACAACTCTCGAAACAATTGATGTATGCAGTTGCATGTTCTGTGGTCAGAAATGTGAGGGGTGGTCTTTTCGGCAATTTCTGCCCTTGTATAAAAACGCATGGGTTTGGTCAATCTTTGGAGTGTGTTTAGAGAAGCAACAAAGGGATCGCTCTGAAACTTGACAGGTACCTTATTGAAGACATGGTTCGACAGCTAAGCAACGCAGCTTACTATGGAACTCTTGCTCTCAGAGAAAATGTCCAGAAACGGACAGCCATTGCCAGGTAATTCAACATTTATCAGGAACCGTTTGTAAAGTCCTCCAAAGAAATGATGCAACAGGGGCACCTACTCCAATACCTCGACCAGGGTGTCCGCGTATCACACCAAGAAGACAGGATCGCCTTCTCCTTAGAGGACGCCGTGCTTGTCGTACAAAGGCAACCAGTGTCCTCAGAAAAGAGAGGCAGAATGTCATTCAAACGCCCGTTTCAAGGTCAATCGTGAACAAGAGATTACTGCAAGCAGGTTAATTTGCACGAAGGCCAGTAGGGAAACCACTGTTAACAGCAGGTCATATACAGCGACGTCTGCAATGGGCTGGGGACCACGTGCGTTTGCAGCCAAAACACTGGAATCACGTCGTTTTCAGTGATGAGGCCAGATATGGATTTTTTAGGGTTGATGGTCGAATCCGTGTCCACCGACGTGTACGAGGGGCATAAAACGATGATTGTGTACTGCCTAGGGTGCAAGCAGGGGATTGTAACGTCTCTGTTTGGGGAGCATTTCATGTCGGTGCCCAGAACCAGTTGGTTTTTCTAAGAGGCAACCTCAGCCAGGATTCCTACAGAGACATTCTACAGCAAACGATACTTCGATTGGTAAGAGCCATCTTCAGGAACAACTTTGTGTACCAAGACGACTGCGCAACCCCACATCGAGGCCGCGGAATCACTGTTTTTCTTCGAAACCAATGGGTTCAGCAACTGCCCTGGCCAACAAACTCTCCAGATATGAACCCAATTGATTAACTTTGGGCAAAAGTAACTCACAGAATTAATAGCTATGGTCATCGGCCGGTAAATAGTGATGAACTGCGACAGGCAAATATCACTGCGTGGAATGATATCCCCATCCAAACTCTAAAAAACGTGTCGCAGGGTATGCCATGGAGGATGAGGGCGCTGCAAGCGGCTGCTGGAGGTCATACCCGCAATAATTGACTTTTAATGATTTAATGTAGTGAGTTCTTTGACTGTGTAACACATCACTGTCCGGAGGCTATCATTTTCTTTAATATCTTAGCTTAAAGTTAATACTGACATCAAACTGTTGATATGGTTTTCTGGGGGTGTCCCTTTCTTTTGAATGGCATCTTATGTCAGATTTGATATCATTGACCAAAATATCTCACAACAGAAGACTGGATGTTTTTATTACTCAGTGGTATACTTTTTTAATGACTCAAGCCAAAAAAAATTTAATCAGCACTCAAAAATAACAATGATAAAAAATATTCCATATTAAGTAGCAACCCTGTAACTTTACAAAGGCAACCGTCTTACCACAGGGGAAATAATAGAAAATATTTGCTTGTTTTAGGTTTTAGCAGTCAGTCACCCTTGAAAGATGGAGAAAAAGAACAAAATGGCTTGATAAAAATGGACTTTGTCGCTGTCTTTATTTTTCTTAGTAACACTATTTGACAAATATTTGCAGTAAGTCATTATTGGCATACGTGGCTCTGATGGACATAACTGATGTAAGTAATAATGCTCTTAACTTTGAAAATCGGCCACACACATTTCATAAACATTAACAAACATTCACACAGTTTCTATTTAATTTATTTAGTTTCAGTTTATAATTTTACAAGATGAAATATTTTGGTTTCTCAATGTTAACCTAACTACTCTGTGTTGACTTGAACGTAACGCACGACTTCACTTTTGCACTTCTGCCATATACTCGTATGTCTTGCTACAACAATTAGCTAAGGTCTAACAACTAACTTATTGGTGCAAAACGCTGAATCACACGCAAAAAGTCTGCATCCCACTACATGATATGTATAACACTGTGCAACATTCATAAGGTAGCGTCTCTTACGCTGCTTGACAGTCCGTTTTGACAGTCTTTTCAGAAGGTACCTTTGGTGCCGTCATAGTTAAAGTATTGGCAACGGCAAGCGGTTGTTCTGGCAGGTCTGTGGGTGGTAGATGCAAGGATGCCCATAAAGAGTTACTGCCGTTTGAGTTGACCGCGGTGGTAGCTGGCATGTCCGACATTCCAAGCCACGGTATGGTGGTGGCAGCGGCGTTTACAGTGGGACCAAGCTTGAGCGGGTCTGAAGAAAACAGGGATCCGTGTTTCTCCGTCGACGTGAGTGGGTACAGCGTTGATGGCGTCACTGGCGGGAGAGTGGGCGTGGTCAGAGGCGACATCAGACCCCAGTGGTTGAACGAAGGAGGATACCCGTTAGAAGCCATGGGCGGAAACTGAAAGCTCCCACCACGCGCTGACGGCAGTGGAGAATATTGCAGGACAAAGTTGGATGGCGGCAACCCGTACAAAGGTGGCATTAAATACCCCGCAGAGTTGAGTCCATTGTACATGGGGCTCATCTGAAACATGGGCGAGTAGGGAATCACACCGCCGCCACTTGGGGCAGGTGAGACAGACGCCGGTGCTGGCAGCTGAGATGGCAAAGGGGGTGGTCTGCGTTTGGACTTAGGCGTCTTGCGAGGCACCTTGGAGGCCTCCTCGGACATGCCGTTATCGTGGTTCTCCTTGCGTTTTCCATACTTGGGGGCTTGTTGTTTGCGGCCGGCATTTTCTTCCGAATCGCTAGACTGTGGTGAGGAGCCCGTTGAATTTGGAGATGACCCTGTCTTGATTGACCGTCTTGTTCTCGATCGCTTGTTTTGGAACCACACCTAAAGTTAAATAAATATTTGCTATGTACTTCTTTTTTTTTTTCACGCACAAACGTTAAAATAGTATGTACGACGAAATTATTAGTGTATATGAAATCTAGATCCCTGGATATCATACTGTTATCGTCACACAGTGAATTGGATTTCTATATTTATAAACGTGAATTAAATTGATGTATTTAAAAGAAAAAGTTTGCCCAATCAAATTCATTTTATTGGTGACAAGGGAACAGATATCTCTTTGCCTTAAAAAATTACTATGATATATGTTATATTTGATTAATTTACATGAGAACTCCTTAGTGTAGCATATTGCCGAAATCTGATCATTCTGCACCTCACCTGTATTCTGGCCTCCGTAATCCGCAGTTCTTCTGCAAGTTCCTCTCTTTTGTTGATGTCAGGGTATTGCTCCTTCTCAAAGGCGTCTTCTAGTCTCGCTAGCTGCTCCTCTGTGAACTGAATACGTGATCTCCTCTGGCGGCGTCGCGGGGGTCTGCTCACGTGCAGCAGGGTGGACGCACTGTCGTCCGAGAGACGTTGCTCCGAGGAATCAGAGTCCTGCCAGTCATCTATGATGAAAATGAAAGAATTGAAATTAATAGATGCAAAAGGGACGAATTATAAGTAAGCAATATCAGTGAAAGCGGATTTAATCGTAATTTGAATTTCAAAATTCACTACTTTTGAGATTCATTAATGTCGATGAACGAAGTTCTTTAAGTCAATTGGTTTATTAGGTTTATTCCAAATAAATCGTATTTAGTGCACTCAATAATTCTGTAAGCTGTAATCCTCAACATTTTCTGCATTCAAAACATGCATTGTGGGATAATTATTGCGTTTCTTTCGCATTGTGATTGTGATCATTTGCACCAATGGTTGATTTAAAAAGTTCAATATTTTGTTGCTAAGTTCCTTAGCGTTATCGCCAAAAAGTCGGAAAAGATCATTGAGTGGAAATACTACAGCATTTGAAAAGCTGATGATTTGTAAGAAAGTTGATCGCGTAAGCCGAATATTTTTTCTTTTGTTGAGTTCATCTTCAGAATGCCCAATATGTGTGCACAAACACCTTAGCAAAGGACCAAGACTACAATCTTAAATCTCCATGTCAACATTGAGGTATGGAGAGCCAGATTGCACGTCCAAAAAGTGGTTTAACCTAAATATACCAGTACAGTTTACAAAAAGATATGATTCTCTACATTCTCCACGTCTTAAAAGTATGAAAAAAATGTCCTCCAGGAAAGCATTATTTCAAACTTTAAATGAACCTGCCTTTTAATGTGTGGAATGATTTTTCTTTTATTGTTTAAGATTACAAACAGTTTTTAATTACCTTTCTCAAATCCCAGTATTTGATTAATGGAATGCTTGGCCGGTCGCACGAACTGTTGCGTGTCTTGGTCGTAGATCAGTTTCCCCGTGTCTTCTCCTCCTTGAACTTGAGCTGCCATCGCAGTAGCAGAGAGATAGCACTAGTAGGTGATGATCGAATGGAAATAAAATTATGAAGTGCCAAATTGATAATTGCACGGAGTTTATAAACAGGGGTCTGGTTTACTACGAGATGTGTGGGCGACACTTTTGACGTCTTTTTATTGGATAATGGCGGTAGCACGTGACGCCAAACAGTCAGTAATCCACGTCTTTTAAACGAGGTCTCGTTAGTGGTGATAATCGAATTGGCTTCATCAGTAATTCGAAGCCAATTTCTGGGGTTCCGCCACTGTCATGTCTGGGCATCTCCCGTCATAGACTGTCGTATGAATGACGAAGTTTATCTTTTTCTTTCATACTTAAGGTGGGGAAAGAGGCATAATGAATTGGAGTTATCAATTGGAAGCCATGCAACCGGATTAGGCTAATGATTATTCTAATTAAATTTTCAAAACAAAGTCTCAGATGTGATTCCGATCGCTACTATTAACTTATGACGTGGGAGGCGCTACACGGTTAAGTGTTACGTTCTTAATGGTGACTGAGATGTTAGACAAATAACATGCGTATTGCTTTTCCAAGCTGAGATTGAGGCCGAGTTGGACTTATTTCATAACAACCGACAAAGAAAATGGTTCATCGTTAAAAAGTAACAAGAGTATTAATTATTAAAGTTTGTAATTAAAACCATTCATGAAAACGAGGCAAAGTTATTTAATAAGATAGAAGGCATCGTTCTTACCGTAAATTTTTTACACTTGGTTTGAAAAGTGAAATAAAATACCGTTTAAATGTGAAACAACATAAAAGAGTAATAGATTAAAGTTGAAGAGATTTACTTCTTTTCTTTCTTTAAAAACTTAGAAGATAAATAGTTGGCGAGTCGCATCTCAATGTTTTTTTCTCTTTCTGTTAAAAATTGGAAATCAATTTCCACTAAACACTGACAGAAGAAAGCAGGAAGAATATATCCATCAGGGAAAAAATTCAACGACTCCGAGATGAAACAGAGAGATACATAAAGATGCGCCAGAAAGATAAAAATAAGGGAACAACCTTTGATTGAACTAGCGCGTAAAGAAACGATATTTTTGCCAAAAAGAGATTGATTGCATACCAAAATTATTCCATATAAATCTCAAGCCAAGCCAAGCCAAGCAGGGAATTGTTTAATGAACAAATGTCGACATAGTAAAAGCCGGTGAAAGTGTAATTGGCACATGATCGTCCGTTTAAATGTTGAAAAGACGTCACCTGTGCAGGTAAAGAGCACCATTCGATACCATAACAGGACTAAGGCTGATTACTCTGTCAAAGAAAGAATGAAGCCCGTTTAACTGCCCAGTAAAATGACCAGTTGACGCAGATAGATAACAATCAAGTTTTTGCATGGAAGCCACTCCCTGCGCCATCGTAGAAACCCAAGGCAAGAGAATTTTTTCCACTTTATTTAACTGTTTAGAGGCAATTCACGCTATCTTTTATACTGTAATGGTATGATTAAAAAAATATAGGAACAAATTTCTGCAGCCTTATTCTTATGAACGCCAAAATATATATACATTTTACATGGTATTTAATCCTCACTAGGTAGGTTCATTGATCATAATGTTAATTTACCCATTGTGTCTACATATAATACACAGAAAACGGAAATGGTTTTATCATCTCGGGTTTAAAAAGGACGAAATCAAATAAAATAAAGCCGACGAAAGTAGAAAGAAGAGTTAAAAGTAATTCTTAGAATTACCTAAAATCCCTCTGAAAATAAAGGCTGCAATTGCTTAGCAGAAATATATATAAGTTCATTTGAAGGGTGAATAGCATCGTTCATAATCTTTAAATTTCGGTTTTGAACGCAACTCTTTCCAAATAAATGCTTCTAAGAAAGGGAAGATCCAACCCCACCATTCCTTCTGGGTGAATCTGTAAGTCCATCTAATCTATTTTAATATCAAAATATCTTCTTCTGCGGCACGCCCATTCCAAGCCGCTATGGCGCAATTTTAAACACTTCTAATGATGCAGCTGTAAAAAGTGAATCGAATATATTGCTTTCCCGTAAATATCTTTCGGCTTTCTTTAAAAAATAAAATCCTTGCCCCGCTTTCTACAGCTGTTTGTGTACAGTGTAAATGTATGTGACTATACCAAGTTGTCATTAAGCATTATACAGCAATGGTGTACACCGTAATATTCAAACTAAGAGAATAAATAAAAATAATTGATATTTATTTTAAATATGTTCTGAAGAAACTACAAAGTGATGATAATTTTTAATTGAAAAGAAACCGTATTAAAACTAAAGATTAAAATGTCCAATTACAATGTTTTGTAAAGTATAAAGTTACAGCGGAGGTAGTCAGTGCAGAGGGCTGGATCGGAGAATTAATTGGAAGTGATCAAATTCCAACCTGGGGGTTTGCTGTATTGAATCGAAACATGATCATTTTTCAAACTCAGCGATATAATCCCAGAATAGCTAACGTGTCTGTATTCCCTCTTTTTTTTCTTTTTCTTTCTTTCTTTTTTGGTACCAATTTCTCTGACAAAGAAAGGCTATTGTCATTTGTCAGAATTGTCGAAAAGCATTGTTCACTTTATCTGTTTGGACGTGGGCCTATATCAATATATTTTTAAAAAATCACATTGTAGCCTACTAACGGGCTGCTTTGTTTTATATCGTCACTTTAAACTTTCTCTTTTATTTACCGCTAACAATGGGGAGTAGTGTTACGAAACTGCCTCTCCTAATATGATAAGATAACGATCATGTTTCCATAACGAAGACATGATTAAATATAAAAGGGAAAAACAAAGAACGCCTCTCGTTAATTAAACGACCTCTGTTATAAAATCAGTTTGAATAATATAATCTTTAAGCACAGTGCATTTTACTTTACTTTTTTTATTTTGACTGTCATTTTCGTATCTGCTGGCAGCACCAAAACTTTCAGAGACTACTTTAAAGTGGCATGTACCGGGGTATATCCCTGACCCTTAGTGGACACGGCAGAGTCGTGCTGAAATAGATAGTGGGGAGTTTCTTGAAATCTCATAATTACGTCTGGCATGTGGGCTGCATAGAGCTTTTTTTTTTTAATTGGAATGTAAATGTCATTTATCAAATGTCAATCATGTAACAACAAGAAGTAAATTAACGGGGCTCTCATTTGGCTTTTACTAACAGTGTAACATCACTGTCTGTTTCCTTTTAATTGCTACATAAATTGAAAGCACTCCTCACGATATCGGAAGAAAATAATTTTGCTGACGATTTTCCATCGATAGGCCCTATCTAGTTTTACAATATCGCTTCATTTTATTGAAATCATTGTATCCAGACCTATTTTCCAGCTGCAGATCATTAAGAAATTTTCGTTGGGATCGAACCAAGGAGTTTCAACAGTTGAAACTCCTTGATCCTACTTCTATGATCCAACTAAGGCTTCGTTCACATGGAAAGTCTATTTTCTAAAAATCTATTTTCTATTCGCGGTATATCTTGTGATCACGGTCTGTGCCCTGAATGTCCCGCGGCGTAATTACTGGCAGCGCGAGATTTTAGATCGATCTATCCCCGCGGGGAGTCTCACTAGATTATTTTCAGATAATCCGACTTAAATGTCCGTCCCGCCTACTACAAACTGTAAGAGGGTAATTAACTTTCGTGTTCGCCCGGCTGACAGCTATTTAGCGTGAACCCCCAGAGACTTAGGTCGATCTAAAGTAGGTCGATCTAATCTATGGAAATGGGGTGATAGACTTTCCTATGAACGAAGCCTAAGCGTAGGCCTTCATCATTGCATATTTTTGTTACTGCGGCTATATACTGTAAGAGCCTTGGTTGCGTCGTAATTAAAAAAACAAACTTGCCTCTTAGATGGCGCATTTGTCTAAAGCAGGTACCCTAAGATTTGTCTTTTAAAAATAACTGGCAGCGCGAGATTTTAGATCGATCTATCCCCGCGGGGAGTCTCACTAGATTACTTTCAGATAATCCGACTTAAATGTCCGTCCCGCCTACTACAAACTGTAAGAGGGTAATTAACTTTCGTGTTCGCCCGGCTGACAGCTATTTAGCGTGAACCCCCAGAGACTTAGGTCGATCTAAAGTAGGTCGATCTAATCTATGGAAATGGGGTGATAGACTTTCCTATGAACGAAGCCTAAGCGTAGGCCTTCATCATTGCATATTTTTGTTATGTACTGCGGCTATAGGCCTATACTGTAGGAGCCTTGGTTGCGTCGTAATTAAAAAAACAAACTTGCCTCTTAGATGGCGCATTTGTCTAAAGCAGGTATCCTAAGATTTGTCTTTTAAAAATAAAAATTGTGAAGAGGGAAAATAAAAAACGTACATAAATTATTCTTAATGCCTGTTCTTGTCTACCTCGGACGAATATTAAAACGTCTGGCGTTGCTAGTCTTTCTAACCCTAAGCAGGTCTGTTAGAACTGTTTGCATTTGATTTGTCAAACAGAAACTTTTAAATATTGTAAGTAAAAATATGTTGCTACCCTGGTTAGCAAAGTTACACCGAAACTCAATAGTCAAGTCACGGCACCCCCCCCCCCCCCCCCCCCATTGAGGGGCGTCACATGACCGGCTTAATTCTCTGTCAGTGCTCTGTGGCATTCTGCCCTTATCATTAGCAACACAAACGGTTATTATATCAAAATGACAAAAATTTATGTTTATTTCATTTTAAGTTACTGTTAAGCCGGATTTGATTTTGCTCTGCTGGAAAATGTAATATTTTTGAGTGCGTTACTCTCAAACCCAATCACGTGACGGGGAGTAATTCAAGATGGCGACGTCCACAGACGACGATTGGAAGTTTGACAAATTTGATGATGGATCTTTACGTAAGTTTATCGTGAAAATAATATATATCCCTTGCTATGTATACTAGGCACTTCGATATTATAAGTGAGCTTATGCAGCTTTGTAAACAGACAAATCGATATGAATAATATGGAAGGAAACTTCGGGCACAGGAGAAGACAGGAAATGTGGAAAAGTGAAGGTTCTGTATTTATGTTTACATTCAATGCGAATATCTGCGGATTTGTTCTGTAGAGGCCGCGTTGCTTATGACCTAATACAGGTACTCATTTCAAATAAATACTGGAACCTAATTTCACTATGAAACGTTCCATATGAAACATTTTATATTGTGGTGAAAGAAGGGATTTATTGTATAGGTCTTCCTGTAGATAACTTTGAATATTTCTGTTGACTCTTGTCAATTTGTTGTTAGGAATTGTTGGAGAGGTTCAACTGAAGAAGTATGGCAAGTTTCTGGAAGAGTATGCTACTCAGCTGAAGGAGATCGAGGACGCCTTGGATGACTCCATAGGAGATGCCTGGGATATGACCCTGGATCCCATATCACTACAGGTATAGCTGGCAGATGGGGGGTGGGGGGTATGCCACGGACCCCATATCATTACAGGTAACAGGCACAGACAGGTGGTAGGGATGGGGTATGCCTGGGATATGACCCTGGACCCCCTATCACTATAGGTGCAGTTCACAAACGGGGGTAGGGTAGAAATTATGACTGTGATTTTAATAGTCACTACATGTCTACTTTGATAACTGTTTTACCAAACAAATCCTGCTGTTGCAGCACCAACATGTTTGCACACATATTAAGGCTATCTCCAGTGAGTTTTGAGAGAAAGACAATTTTCCTTTGATTTTTGGTCTAGTTCCTTCCATATGAAGACATTATTTTGAATTTGAGACCAGTGAATGTGTTGTGAAACATAAGCCAATTTTCCTATGATTTTTGTTCTAGTTCCTTCCCTATGAGCAGACGTCCCTCCTACAGCTTATCAAGACAGACAACAAAGTGCTGAACAAGGTGATCACAGTGTTTGCTGCGCTGTGCAACGAGATGAGACATCTGAAGTATGAGGCAGAGACCAAGTTCTATAATGCTCTGATGTTCTATGGAGAGGGAGGTAAGATGGACATGTGGGAACAGTTTTGATCTGTTTAAAGAATGAGATATGAGAGATTTTAATCTGGCAACTTTTATCATGAAATGAAGAATGAGAATGCTGTATGTTTCATACATACCTTTACTTATGTCATAACAAGCAAAGTTCTTATTGTATTGGTTATTCAGATTACAGTTAGGTTATTGCAATGAAAATTGAATTAACACTTTGTAGTAGTATTACAAATAAAGAAGCAATGGACAGAAAAATACAAGTGATAAGGCAAAACACAATTCTTTATAGAATAATGCTTTTTTAATTTCAGTTGAATTATATTTATGTATAACTTTTTATAGAGCCAGAAACTGGTCTTGATGAAGGAGAGGTGCAGATACAAATGGGAAGAATGTTACCTTTGATACAGGTGAGGAAAATTACTTTTCTTGCAGGTAAGGTATGTTAAATTTATTTTAACCAGAAGTGGCCATGACTTATGTCAACAGATGCCAGGTTGCATTGTGCCTTAAAAGTTTAAAAGTCTTTGTTACTTTCAGACCAGCCATCACCCCTTGTGTTACAGCTAATTGCTGTGCTGAATGTGGTCCTAAAAGGTCATCGTTTTCATCCAGAGAAAATAACCAAGACAGATATAAAGATGTTTGGTTTTTGATTTCAGGAATTATCTTGTTTTGTGAATCGTAGTTATGAAGTTGTGAGGAGTGTCATTCAGCAGCTGTCCTCACTGTATAACAGGTCAGTGTGAACTGGTATAACAGG